TCAGACCTGAAAAGCCAAACTGTGTCTGTAATCTGACCCTTCATGGAAAAGAATTTGCCCATCTCTGATTTAAAAAATAATCTGATATCTGAGTTTTTTTTTCCTAGTTCTCAAGTATTAGAGTACTAAATTAGTTGCCAATCCTATTCAAATTATTTCACTTGACAGGCAAACTTTTATAAAAACATTATAACTGACAATCTTTGATCCAAGTTTATACTAGTCAGATAAAAAGTCCAATAGTTTTGGGCTCAAATTAATGAAATACCTCTGGCCTGGAGGCCAGCAGCTTAGTTATAGTCCTTTACAAGGGCCTTTTCGCAATCATGGAACAAAGCAGGTGGACCGGAATGCCCTGGCTCTGGAGACATCTTTCATTCAAGGTGGACATGCTTTGTACTTTCTAGCACTAGGACTCTGAATATGTCAATATCCCACTGGCCTGGCCAAGCCTGTTTTCACCAGGGCTCCAGATATCAGTTGGCACCTGGCTTTTGTTATACATAGTATGCCCTCTTCCAAGCTCTTTCACAGATACCTTTTAAAAACTAAGCGTTTGAAAAGAAACACTCATTCCCCCAAATACTAATGTTTTTATGAGCAGTTCTTTTGAAGCTGATGCACCTATAACTCTATAATGACTTCAGAATTAAAGTCCACTTCCAATTCCCTTGCTGGTGCTTGATCATGTGATGCTCCTCATTTTTAAAACATCTCTTAGAAAATCTTTAAACATGTAAAAATAGAGAGGCTAGTCCCCAGCAATAGCTTTTACATTCAGCCATTTTTTTCCATGACCCCTTCTCCCAACCTTTTATTTAATATTTGTTGCAGCATTTAAAAGCAAACGTCACACATCAAATCATTTCACTCATGAAGGCTTGTTTGTTTTGGATAACACCTTTATCACATCCAACAAATAAAAAAATAGCACCCATTATCACACCCAACAAAATTAACAAGAATTCTTGTTACCAATACCCAGTCTCAAGCTCAGTGTTCTCCAGCTATCTCTATGACTTCCTTCCCTGGAGAGTGCAACCAAGGGTCCAAACACGACTGCTGCATCAGTCAGCTTTCCTCCACTAGCACAAAGTGCCTGAGAAAAGGAAAGATATATTTGACGCACACTTTCAGAGGTCTCAGTTCTGAATGGCTGGTTCCAAAGTCAAAACCTCATGACAGAAGGACATGGCAGAGGAAAACTGCTCACCTTACAGCAGCAGAGAGAGAGAGAGGAAGGGAGGGAGGGAAGGGCTGGGGACAAGATAAAGTCCCTAAAGCCCCCCCCCCTTATTACAACTCCTACAGTCTCTACAAACTCCAAGTAGTCCATTCAAATTACAAATCCACCAACAGATTAACCCACAGACGAGGTTAGAGGTCTCATGAGCCAATCATTTTCTTAAAAGTCCCACTTGCGAACATTGCTGAATTGGAGACCAAGCCTTTGATGTATGAGCCTTTGGGGACATTCTAGATCCAAACCATAGCAACTACATATTATATTTTGTTGACAAGTCTCTCAGGTCTCTAGATTTGCAATAGATTCCTTTCATGGTTTTTTCCCCCCCACCCACTTTTGTTCATCCATTAAATTCTAAGTTGGACAGGCAAACCTTACCAACAATAATACTTTTTCAGCCTTCACATGTTATAAGCAACCCTAACATTCACAGACCCTCAGCCCCTTAGGCTGACTCTTGAGCTCCACCTTCCACAGGCAGTGCTACCTGAAAACCAATATGCTAGGCCATCCCCCCACACTTTCTGCTCTCCAGAGAAGGAATTTAGATTGCTTCAGCAAGCCAATTCCCTAAAATTAAATCTTTTCATTGCTGTGATGGCCCCAAGACTCTGAATGATTTAAAAAAACAAGGCACCCATTCATTATGGTCTCTTTTATGAATTAACCAAACTTAATCAAGAATCACAAAGTAAATCAACCACACCTAGGGACCCATTATTGTTAACATAACAACATTAATTGAGCACCTAGATCATGCAGCACATTGAGTTATAAAAAAGGATGACCTACATCCCTGCTGGAAGGGACTTACAGTCTAAACCAAGAAGCATTGCATCATTTAAACAAAAGTGCCCAAGGGGACAACAGACACAGTACCACCCAAACTGACACCTATCCCCCAATCACTGGGTTAAGTCTTTATAGCGAGTTGTGGTGGTGTGTGCTGACATTTCCAGCTACTTGGAGGCTCAGGTAGGAGCATCACTGTAGTCCATGAGTTCAAGATAAGACTGGGCAACAGAAAAAGATCCTATTCCAAAAAAAAAAAAAAAAATTTCTAAAAGAATATTTGTGAAACTGATCTGCACAATGGAATAAAAAGAACAAGAGTCAGAAGGAACAGAATTTGATTGTTAGTTCTACCATTTACAAATTGTGCCATACTAGATAAGTTATTTAGTCTAATTCTCAGGTTGTTTTTTTTTTTTTCATTTAAAATTCAGGTAATCCAAAATACCTCACATAGTAGCAGCTGAACAGAATACCCACTACGCCAGGCATTGGGTCACAATGTTTTATGTGTACTATCTCATCTAATCCTCAAGCCAACACTAGGATACAGCACCTATCATGCCATTTTCCAAAGAAATTAAAAAGGCCAGGTGCTGTGGCACATGCCTGTAATCCCAACGGCTTGGGAGGCTAAGGCATGACGACCACAAGCTCAAAGCCAGCTTCAGCAACTTAGTGAGGCCCTAAGCAACTCACGAGTCTATCTCAAAATAAAATATGAAAAAGGGCTGGGAATGTGGCTCAGTGGTTAAGCACCCCTGATTTCAATCCCTGATTCCTGGAGGAGGAGGAGGAGGAGGAGGAGGAGGAGGAGGAGGAGGAGAAATAAACAGACTGGGCGAGTGATCCACCCAAGCCAACCCAGGTACAGGTTACGGGAAAGCCAGGAAAGGGTAGTAGGGCTTCAGAGTTCTTGGTGTCAATCCGTGTGATAATGCCACCCAAATACTCCAACCATCAAGTATAAGACATAAGGCAGCATGAATTGAGGGACTACACCACCAGTGAAATGCCACATCATGTACAATCACAAGAATGGGATCCTAATTAGAAATAAGTTATATTCCAGGTATGTATAATGTCAAAATACACTCTACTGTCATGTATATCTAAAAGGAACAAATAAAAAAATTAAAAAGATCAAAAATACTAAACCAAAAATACAAATAAATGAAAATAAAAAATAAGTTGAGGGGTAGGGGAAGACCTCCTACTACCGGCTATTAGATTCACTATACTCTGAAGTCATAAGGCACAGCACCTTATAGCTCCCACCCCTATCCAAACAAGAAGCCAGAAGAGACTCCCAAAGTTGTCCTATCTGAGGAATGATTATGTTCAGAGCCATATGATGGTTTACTTCCTTACTGGGGCAAGTCTTCAGCCATCTGCTAAAGAGTATATGAGCCTTTTTTTACTATAAGTCTCAAACACCCAATACTTATGTTCAAATAAGGCCAAAGAGAAATCATAATTTTTCCTTTGTACTCTTTTACTTCCCTTTTACACATATAAATACATAAAAAAGACTGAAGGAAACTAGCCACCAGCAAGAAAGTTCAACTCCCTGTGGCCACCACACCATGAGAAGGCCAACCAAGCCAAGCAGAAACATCACCTGGAGAACTCAGGTCCTTGCAGGAGTACCACCCAGTCAAACCAGAGAATGAAAGAAATAATAAAATGCTGTGGGGTTAAGCTGCTGAGATTTGGGTTGGCTAGACAACTGAAACTGGTAGAAAAGTTTTTCCTGCTAGGCCAAACATCAAATCTATGAATGAAAGGCACCTTGATGGCAACTCACCATCATGTACCAGGGAAATGATACATTCCTTTGACTTGAGGATGCCCACAGGTAAAACTACTCAGCTCTTAGAACCCAGGTTTAAACTGTACCTGGCTCAAGAAAGTTAAATGTTAGTAATGCTCATATTAATAACCATAATGGCAGCCAATATTTACTGAGTGTTTATTACATACAGGCTTCATATTAAACCCTTTATACATTCAATTCTCACAAGTCTTCTGAGGTGGGCTGCTATGATGCCCAATTTCAAATATGGTCACGAGCACTTGCAGTGGTACACTAACTGGCCCAGGATCACACTGCTAGTAAATAGCGAGTAAGGTTTTCATCCTGGTCCATATAACTCCAGAGAGTGAGCTCCCCACTTACTTCTATCGCCCCTTCAAGTGTGCTGCTGCTTCAATGAAGTTGCTCTCTTTTTTAAAATTTTTAATATTTATTTTTTAGTTTCAGGTGGACACAGTATCTTTATCTTATTTTTATGTGGTGCTGAGGATGGAACCCAGTGCCTCTTGCATGCTAGGCAAGCGCTCTACCACTGAGCCACAACCCCAGCCCTAAAGTTGCCCTCTCTATAGAGGGAAAGGGTGTAAGATTTAACACTGCCTGGTCTGTGGAAGCCTTTCAGTCAAGACCAGCTCTTGGTAGGAAATCTGCAGATGGTAAGGGTAGAGGGGTAGTTTCCTCCCTGACCAGGACCCCGAAGGCCCAGACCACAGGGAGCTATTTTGGCGATTTACACGTGCCTTCCTCACCCCCAGCACCCCTGGTGTGGAGGCCACCTGTAGCATACCCGTGTGGCCCGGCTTAGACCCGCGGAGCGGCAGCTCTTTCTGGTCCACCTGGGCCGTGCAGAACCACAACCGGCGCGAATCAAGAGAACGGACAGAAAGTTAAGGCTTCACATACCACGAATCCCTCCCCCCAGCAGCCTCAAAGTTCTCCAAAGAAAAGGAGAGTTCTTGGCAGGATGGGACAGTGGAGGGTCCCACCCAAGAAATGAGGGGGCCCGGGACTCCCAGGGCCGGGGGCGGGACCCGGTGCTGGCGCGCCCGGAGCGCGGGGAGGCGGGCGAGGCCGGGAGGGAGCCCTTCCTCCTGGCGGGCGGGCGCCACAGGTGGCCAGCGGAGGGCGGGGCGCGGCGGTACTCACCGGAGTCCAGTCGTCCTGCCAGCCTGCAGAGCGCGAGGCCCCGGGCGGGCTGGGACACACCCCCGGAGCTGGGCGGGGCGGTAGGGGAGGGGACCGCCGGCAGCCCGCGACCGCCCGCTCGCTCGCCATCTTGAGCCGGTCGGGGGCGGGGCCACCGTCCCAGGCCCCGCCCCGGCCGCCCCGCCCTCGCGGCGAAGGTGGCTGCCGAGGTGGGCGGGGAGGTCAGGTGACCCGGCCGGCGTCCCAAGATGGCGGCGGCGGTGGCGTCCCGGAGGCCGTGGCGGCGTCCCGGCTGCTGAGGCGGCTCCGCGCGGCTGGCGGCAGGCGGGCCAGGCCGAGGGCCGGCTTACAAGCGGCCGCCGCCTCTGCGTGCCCCGCGGCCGGGGCCAGGCCGTACGGCGGCAGCGCCGGGGGATGCTCCTGCTGGGCCGGGCCTCTCCCTCAACTTAGGGCGGCGGCGGGCCCGCGGCCGGGGCTCCCAGGCCATGGCTCTGAGGGAGCTCAAAGTGTGCCTGCTGGGGGTGAGTGGTGGCAGGCCCCGCCGGGAGGCCGCGGGAGGCCGGGCGGGCGGGTCCCCGGCGCCCGCGGCCCCTCCACCCCGCCCTGTCCCGGGCCACTCGCCACCTGACCGCGCCCTGCCGAAGCCCGGGCGCGAGGACCCACGGGGACCCCCTCCCCGGGGGGCAGGCTGCCCGCCAGGGGTGGCTAGTGCAGGGTGGGAGCGGCCAGTCCCCCCCCCAGGGAAGCCCGCAGGTCTGGAGGTCGACCAGCAGCACTGGCCTCCTTCCCGTCTGTTGAACTCGTGGGACACCCTGACACTTCTTGCAGAGTTACTTCGCGAAGTAACTCTTCCCACGGAGAGGGGGTGTTCAAACCAGGAAACCCGAAAGGCGAGCGCGCAGCTTGGGTTTCCTGTCTTGTCAGGGTACTTTGGCCCTTTCAGAGTCTTCTGAGGTTGATGCTCTCCTTCCTGAGTTTCTGCTTTGAAGATGAAAAAGAGTTCCCACAACTAGGCTTTGTTGCCCTTGGAATAGGGTGGGGACAGGATTCATCAGGGATACTCAACTAATTCAGGAGCTCAGAGTTTACAAATACATGTTGGAAAAAGCAAGTGTGTCACTTTTCACATAAAGCAGAAACTTCAAGTGGTTCAAAGGTCCTGATGTCTTAAAAACTGCAAAACACTTCCCCTATGACACATTTGAACTCTCCTATTTAAGTTTTTATGAAAACCTCTTTTGTGCCCCTCAACTTACAAAATTTGATACACATCTAATATTATTTTTCTGAAATCCTGAACTTATACCATAAAGTTGATTTTTGCACTTGCAAGCAGGTTCACTTTTTCTTAGTTGCACGTCTCATTCTCTTTCAGGATACAGGTGTAGGCAAATCCAGTATCGTGTGGCGGTTTGTGGAAGACAGTTTTGATCCGAACATCAACCCAACAATAGGGTAAGAGATTAAGCTTAATTAATATACATCTAAAGGCACTTAGGAAATTCTTCCATACAAAAAATGTGTTACAGGTGTAGCCCCTGCTGCCTCAGGGAATTCCGAGTTGCTGATCCTCATCATCTCCAGGACTTGAAAGAATACCATGAGGTCTGGTGTATTTTAGGAATATATTTTCTTAAGTCTTGGGAGTGAAAACTTCAAAGTAAAAAAATAGAAATTTGAATCTTGCTTATTGTTAGAATAGACATAGAAGCCATTTATTTATATGTATACACACACACACAGAAGTCCATAAATATCAAGAATTGCATCTTGAAAGAAGGCAAATGAAAACAGGTCCTGGTACCATTCTTTTAGCCCTATCAATTAGAAAATACTCAGATGGTTTTAGTCCTTTAACAGCAGCAGGATGGGATCCAAACCCTTCTCATACATTCCTGTGCTGTTAGTAATGATGCATTAATAAATTAATGTTGAGATGTGAGGCCTCTAGTGTTTTGGAGATAGAGTATTAAGTGTCACAGTACTAATATTTAATGTGAGAAGTATTTTGTAGTAGCTTTGTTTTTGTTTTTTTGGTACTGGAGCTTGAACTCAGGGGTGCTCTACTACTGAGCTATACCCCTGGTTCTTTTTATATTTTATTTTGAGATAGGGTTTTGCTGAATTGCCCAGACTGGCCTCAAAGCTGCCATCCTCCTGCTTCAGCCTCCCTAATAGCTGAGATTACAGGCATGCACCACTCGGACTGGCTGTTTTATAGGTTTTAATATTACATTAGGCTTGTAAAACTAAACAGCTGCTGTGCTCTATTTTTATTGTCAAACGCCCACCAATCAAATGGTTTCCTCCATTTAAAGAAAAGTTCTGTGGAGCTCATCTTTAAGATAAAATACGGTTTTGTGCTCTATACAGATCATTTTCTGCTTCAAAGAAAAATATGTTACCAGTCCATGAAGGGAATTGCCATCTGATTATCCCCTGAGAAACTAAAAACTCCTATTGTCAGTTCATGTCTGCTTTGTTAAACTTTGTTAAACATTTGAGGTCATGAGAATGAAATCCACCACTCTTTCTGCAGTTAAAATGCCTTTCAGTATCCTTCAAGCAAGAACTGGGTATGTGCACATGTTTAAAGCATGACCTCACCCTCCTCGGGGCCTGCCTGTCACTACCTGCACAAGAAAGTGAAGTGATAGGAAGTGATATCAAGTATTGCTGATGATTCAGAGAGTGACATACTTCACACTGAGTCAGAGCCCAAAACACAGAACCCACAGAACCATCTTGGTTAGTCCTGAAAGAGGAGAGAAGAAATGAAGGTACAGTTTCATGGGCCTCAGTGTGGCTAGTGCTGACTTCCCCTCTCCCTGTCATCAGCGGCTCCTCTGTGCCACATATTTGTGGCCCCAAGCCATCTCATCTCTTCTCCACCAGGAAAGAAGAAGCCAAGGCTTTCTCTTTCTCCTCATTTCCTTCTTGCTCCCTTTCCTTGTTTCTTTTTTCTTAGCCTCAAAAGGTAGCTTCTTCCCTCATGACCAACCCCAACACACCCTGGAGCTCTGGTAGCCCACCTCTTCATCACTTTCTTCTGCTTCCCCTACGTTCTTGTCACAGCCTACAAACAAGCTCCCCATCCACCCGCCTCCACTACAAGGACACAGTTGCCCGGCCCTGCTGCTCAAAGCATGTAACTCCTCAGCTGCTATTCTCTCCATAGCCACTGTCATCTCATCAATTCTAACCCACCACGCCATTAAAACAGCCTTCTGTGGGTATTGATCACCATTAATTACCAAACCAGTAGGTCTTTCGCCCTCCTGTCCCTCCCTTAAAAAGATTTTTTTTTTTAAAAATCGAGTATTTAAAGAAAAGAAGTGTACCAGTTGATGTGAGGGATAGTAAGTAGAAGAAAGCTGGAACCACACATTGGGAGGGCTGAGCAGGTTGAGAGGAAGGGTTGGAAGGCTAGAATGGCAGGACCGAGCAAAAACTGGAAAGGTGGCCAGAGGGGCTGCTAAGACAGCAAGGACCAGGCCTCTAGGCCACCCTGGGCCCCAGAGATGGGGCAGATCCAGCATTGCAAACACATCCCCAATTTCTTGGAGTGAAACTCCTCTGTCTTCCCTAGTTCCCTTCTTCTGCCTGTGGACATACTACTCACTGTTGTCTCCTGGCCTCTCCTGCTGATGAGGAGCTGTGTCCTGGCTCCCGTATCTTCCCGAAATCCTCCTCTCCCCTTTCACGGCTGGCCTTCCTCTGGGTAATATGACCCAAAGTCAATTTCTCTAACCTTTTCCTTGGCCCATATCGCCAACCCGTGATTTGGACCTATTCTCACACAAAACTCAGTATCTGTCCCACTTCTACTCCTAAATCTTTCACTCCTCCTAAATTTGGGTTCTTCCTTAATGGCCCAAGTGTTTTGTATAGTGGGGAAGAGCCTGGGCCCTGAAGAACTGTACTGTGCTGAACTTGAATTAGGCCCTTCACTTGAGCCACCCTGTTGGAGGTCCTAGTCCTGCCTACACTGTGGGGTGGTTAGCAAACATTCATTCAGTCTCTTGACACAATGGACACAGGAAGTGTGCATTAAATATCTGTGATTGTTAATGCTAGGACTCCATCCCTTTCGACCCTCTCATTACACACATGCACGGGCATCCTCATGTCCCCTCCTAACTCACTGTCACTAGCTCCTGTCCAGGCCACCACCTAAATATCCCAATTATTAAAGGCCTCATCTCCTCTTATTAGTGTGGGTCTCATGCCTGTGGTCTCCCTGGACTGTAGCTCTGCCACTTACTAATCAATGAGCCCTGGATAGTTGACTCTTAATCAGCAAAAGAAGGGTAATGCTGGGACCTCACTATTGTTAGGAGATTCCATGAGAGAGTGCACTAAAGGTTTTTGCAAAAACCAGTAACATTGGGGCTCAATAAGTGGTAACTTGTTATTTTTCAAATATTTCAGTCTTTTTTACTTTATTTTTATCAAAGCAATGTGTATGTGGTTTTTAAAACATATGAGATGGTGACACAGGGCTTTCAAGGAAATATGACTGTCCCCATTCGATTCTGACCCATTTCCTAGAGACAACCACTGTTGCCATGAAAATCAACTATTTTTTTCTGGTCTTTCCTCCAGATTTTTTTTTTGTAATATGTGACTGGTCGATCTCTTCTTCTCCCCTCCCTCCACCCCCAATCAGTTTTAGGCAATATCTACTGATTTTTTTCCTTTGGAATGTGAGAATTTGACCTTTCTCCTCTTCCTAGCACCTGAACATTTGCCCTTCTCTATCTTTGCATTAAAGTTCTGTCCTTGAACTACACTGATAGCTTAGTGTTAACAGTAAGGCCCTGGGCTGGGGATGTAGTTCAGGTAGTAGAGTACTTACCTTGCATGCACAAGGCCTTGGGTTCTGATCCCCAACACCACCACCAAAAAAAAGAGACAGGCCCTCAAACCAAAGTGTCTTCACCTCCCAGCTTTAACACTCAAGTTGCTCTGTGGACTTGAGCAAGTTATTTAACCACTTTGTTATTTAATTTGCTCATTTAGGAATACTCTGTGACATCTTTCTTAAAAGGTTTTTGTGAATATTGAGTTAAAATACAAAACTTACTTGGAATGATACTTAACATACAGTAAACATTCAGTACTTCTTAGCAGTTTTTTGCTTTTTTAGTACTGAAAATTGAACCCAGGAGCCCTCTACCACTGAGCTACTACTCTAGTCCTTTTCTTTTTCTTGGTTATTTTTAAACCATTATCTTAAAGTTGAGGCTGGTCTTGCACTTGCCATCTTTCTCCCTCATCCTCTGGTGTAGCTGGGATTATAGACACATGCCACTGTGCCTGGCTAGCGATTGGTATTTTTAAATAAACTTCTAAAGCTATAATTTTGAATTCTATAAATGGAATTAGACAGTGTATGTTCTTTCAAGCATTGTGAGATTCATCTGTTATTTCATGTGCTAATAGTTAATTCATTTTTATCATCATATCATAATATCCCACATTTGGATGAATGTCCCACATTTTATTGATTCTATTCTTGTACATTTTGTTCCTCATATAGGGCTATTACATACAGTTGTGCTATTTGTACACACATCCTCCTGTGTGCAGAATATTGTACGTATCTTGTGCCTGTATTTATAATTTTGTTGGAGGCTATATACATCTGGCAGTGAATATTGTTGGGTCACAGGGAAATGTATCTTCCAAAGGATTAAACCAGTTTACCCTTCTCACCAGCAGTGGACAGGAGTTCCAGGTGCTTCACACCCTTTGCAGCATTTGCTGTGTCTTTCCTTTTACTTCTTTTGGAGGTATGTGATAGTATCTCATTCTGGTTTTAGTTTCTATTTCTCTAATGATTAAAGCTCCTGAACACTTCTTCCTGTTTATCAGCCATTTGGATATTAACCTTTTTGAAGTGCTTGTTCACAAATCATGTCCATTTTTCTCTTGGATTGTTAGTCGTTTTCTTAGTGGTTTGCAAACATCGTGTTTGTCTTCTGTATACTAGTCATTTATTCTGTGTTTTGCAGATGTTTCTCACACTGACTTTTTCACTCTTTGAAAGTGTCTTTGAATGAACAGATGTTCTTATTTTTAATGTCCATTTAATCAGTCTTTCTGTTTTTGGTGAGTGCTTTTTAGGTCTTGTTTAAGAAACTTTGCTTTACCAAAATGATGAAAATGTTTCCAGTTGTAGGAACTTTGTTTCACTTTTAAGATTTAGATCCAATAGTCCTATTCCCTTTTCTTTTTTTAAAGATCATGCAGCATACCCTGCTGCTGTTTGCTGAACCACCATTGTCCTGAATTGAGCATACATATTTATAAGGCTCTGTTTATGGATCTTTTATTATATTTCTTTGGTCTATGTTTTCAATTGATTGTACTGAAATATAGTTTAACTACATTAAAAATGAACCCATTTTAAGTGAACACTTTGAATTTTTATACATTCTTACATCTGTGAG